TTTCAATATGGAGACCAGGAATCTCAAAACCAAGCATCTAGTCTCAACACCGAGCTCTAGTATCAATAGTATAACCCTCAGTCTCAATACCAACAGGTCAGTATCGGTACCAAAACTCTAGTATCAATACCGAGGCCTAAAATAAACATGTTTTCACCTAGAACATGAATAATATCGATATTGTTCATATAGTATCGATACTATCGCTCTGAACTACATTGTTTTACTAGGAAAACACCCTTAAACTCAACACCAAACACTTATTTTAAGGTATAAGTTGTTTATTAAAGCTTATGGAAGTTATAAGGGGTTATTATACATCATTTTTACACTAGAACAACATCCAAAACATCCTTAACAACAAATCAAAAACCCAAACCCCACATGTTCTTCCAACCCCATACAAGCAAACACACTTATTTAAATGACATACAAGAAGTAAAGAAGAGTTAAATTTTGTTACCTCAACTCCTAGCTACCCAAATATCTTTCTAGATCCTCCAAAAACCAACCTTGTCAACTTCTTACCTTTATGGGTGTTCTTGCATCATCCTTCCCTTAACCAAGAGCCATAACTTGATTCCAACATGAAAAGGAATGACACTAATTATTAAATAATAACTATAACATAAGGAAATCAAAAGAAAACATTGAAGGAAGCGCTCAGAGCTTAACCACCATTAGAGAAAATGGTGAGCTTTTCATGATGCTTAAGAACCCTAGATTAAGATTCTTACCTATAGATTTTGGATTAAAAAAGGAGATGAAGAAAGGTAAAACTTTTTTCTTTTGTTCTTGCTTGAGTGGAGAGAAAAATAAAAATGAATGTGAAGGGAGAGGGAGAAGGGAGAAGGGAGAAGGGAGAAGGGAGAAGAGAGAAGAGAGAAGAGAAGATGAATAAGGGAAATGAGACCTTTTTGGCTCACCACAAAACCCATGTCTAAAGTAGGAAAATTCACCCAAATATGTTTCTTCAATGGTAAAATTACACTCTATGTCCTTTCATATTCTTTCCAAGCTTAAAATCCCCTTTTTATCTTTTACAAGGCTAATTCCTTACCTGATTAAACTCAAAGTCGAACCCAAGAACCCTCGTATTATAATAAGTCTATTAAATAAATTCTTGGGTCAACACAAAACTACCAGACTGATATTTAGGGTGTTACAAAGACCCTTTACAGAGCTTGTCTATTCATTTCATAGCAAATCGTAGTTATGCAAGTGTATCAAGAGATATTTACAATCTTTTAATATTAAAGAGTATGGATATTCAACCAAGGACAATGTATACTTCAACAGAAAGTATGAATACTTAAACAAATAGTAAGGATAGTCAAATGAAGAGTACAAATACTTGAGTATCGATGCTCACTCAATGGTACCAACACCAAGCCATGACTATAGATACCAAATTGATGGCATCGATACTAATCAAGGGAGTATTAATACTCAATTAACAATATGAATAATATAAGAATCAATATCAATATCAATCCTTTAAACCCTAAATTTTCAAGACTAAATTAATATAGTATCGATATTTGTAGAAACAATATAATACTACAACGAAAAACCCCTAAATAAGACTTAAAAATAACCCCAAAAGACATCCACACACTTGTTTTAAAGACCTACATCATTCCTAAGGCTTAGGGGTTGCATGGGCATCATCTAACATCATTACTCTATGTTTTGAATATTTAAATATGACTTTAAACTTCTTCAAAGATTCGCAAATGTTTGTTTGTTGAGACTTTGATACTTATTCATGATTTTGTTGTGTGATGTAATGCATGTTTGGTAAGTTTACAAACATGATTGAGGACTTAGCATGTCAAATGATGTGTTTTTGTTCTATGGATGTTATGAAATGTTTTTTTTGGATAATATAACTTGTTGGAATTTTTTTTGGATAAATTGAAATTTTATTATCCAAATGAGAAAATCATGCTACAAAAAAAAATCCCAAATAGGAGTATAACAGTTATTTACAACAAAAATATTTAGTCTATACTCCAATAGCTACAGAGAGTAGAATTAACAGCACCGAGTCTATTAATGTTCCTACCAATTAACTGAATTCGGACAAGCTCCTTGATGTTCTTCAAAAGTTATTTCACGTCTTTATTTCTATTTTGAAAGATTCTTCTATTTTTTCCCCAAATCAAATAGATATAAGCATTCCAAGTTATCTTCAAGATAGTGGAGATGAGAGATTTACCTTTCCATTCTTTACAAGACCAAGCAAGCCTTGCTTCCCAAGACATATGGGATTTGCGCAAATGAGTGAGCTGCAATATTGAGTTCCACAGGGTTTTAGCAAATTTGCAGTCAGCAAACAAGTGATTTCTAGTTTCAATTTCCTCTTTGCAGAAAACACATATTCCATCAGTTTGAATTCCCATCCGAGAGAGTCTATCATGAGTTGAGAGTCGATCAAGAATAGCCATCCAAGTAATCACACTTGTTTTTGGAATATGAAGGGTAAACCAAACCACATTATGCAATGGAACCTTGTTATTTTTATCTCTAACTTCTTCCCATATATTCTTAGTCTTCGAAACACCTGCATTATGAATGGGAAGGGCCTCTGTCCTTAGCTTTAAGAGTTTATTTATGCCCCAGCTATTGGTAGGACTTTCACTTAAGTCTCTAAAATCTTTGTTCTTAATCACATAAAATTTAATCCAAGCAACCCAAAGTGAATCTTCCCTAGTAAGAATGTTCTGTATAAGCTGAATCATGCAAGCCTTGTTCCATGTTTTGATATTTTTAAAACCGAGGCCTCCTTCAGATTTTGGGCAGCAAATATTTTTCCAACTGATTCTGGCTCCAGAAGCTGCTTGATCAGATCCCTTCCAAAGAAACCGTGTACATAGTTGGTCAATTCTGTTAATAATAGATTGAGGAAGCATGAATTGTCTGCACCAATAGTTGGGAACACTAAAGAGAACAGATTTGATCAATTCAAATCTTTCAGCATAACTGAGTAATTTTCCAGACCAATGATGCAGTTTAGTTTTGATTCTGTCAATAAGAGGCTGGCAATTTGTTGGAATATTGGTGTGACCTAAAATGAATGAAATGGTAGTTCTAGTGCTTAACACGTATGAAAAATAGTTTAGAAAGAATTATAGGGTCTAGATTTTGATTTAATATGTTTTTAATTGTCAAATTTAGCATGAAAGTGTACTTTTTATGTATGTTGAAACTTAATTTTGCAATTCTCTATATATATAAAAAAAGATTGATGCTTTGAATATTAATAGAATGAAAAGCTGATCTCTTTTCTAAAAGATTGATATCTTCGTTAAAAGGAAATATCTTTCGGAGAAAAAATTGATATCTCGAGTTTGAAATCATAGAAGCTTATTTTGAATTGTCTTTTAAAGCCCTTAAATTTGTTTGTTTTCCTTTGGTACTTATATAAATGATACTTTATGAAATAGTCCTTATATTTTGATATTGAAATTAGGGATTAAGCACGAAACATACGATCTCAGTGGTAAAGGAATTATTGTTATTCCTTGAGGTTCCAGGTTCGAGCATCAGGAATGTCAGAGGTGTGAGCATTCAATGTCAAACAATTGAAAGTTATTTTTAAACAGATATTACATTATAATTTCCCCCAAATTAATATAAAAGGAAAGATATTAGACATTAATTTTTAACTCGATTTAAGTTAGATTTTTAACAGTGGATTTACATTTACTTTACTTTCATAATAAAACTAGAAATTTGGAAATTTCAAATTATTAATAATATTATTACCTTTTCATAATTTAATCCCTACAAATAATAGTTTCACAACTGAAGAAGCGTTTTAAATCCAATTTAGCTAAAATTTCGGGCAATGACTGTTTGAATGTTTTATTAATTTAAGGAATCTTAAGATCTCATTTTGGACAAGATTAAGTATGTTGAATGTGAAAAGATGAAATTACATCTAAAGCATATTTAATCATTTTTCGTAAAAATTTTACGTCTAAATATGAAATTAGTTCTCCTTAACAGTGCAATACATATGCTCCAAAAACAAAAAATCCGTACATAATAATTAAATTAATTTAACATATTGCGAAAAAGATTCCTACGTAATAAATTGTGATAATTAAATATATTAAGAAAAATATTCTTGTAACTAGCACGTGTTTACGATTTGGCGATATTTTCCGTGTCTCATATTATATATTATTGATAGATTTATTTGATTTTAATATTATGTTCATACTGCACAAACTAAATTAACTTAGTGATTAAAATAAATAGTTATTTTTTTAAAGGTCTCAAGTTTGAGTACCAGTGATTGCAGAATAGATGATTGGGCGTTTATTGGTAAATAGTTAAAAATGTTTAGAACAAATCTTACTTTATAATCACCTTAGATTTTGTGTTCATGTAATTGCCTTTAAGTTGTTTTTTATACCTCAATTATACCAATTCCCCCAAAAGCTATGAAAAAGAAAATATCTTAAAATAATAACATCGAATTAGTATCTATAAACATGATTGCTGTTTTATTTAATTTTTAAAACTCTGTTTTAGAACCCCCAAGATACAAACCCTCTCACTTTACTATTTTAAAAAACGTTAATCGTAACTGTTAATATTGTCATTTGTTCATTACAAAACTTTGGTTGATGGATCTCCTCAAAAATTGGTATTCAATGGTCAAAACTGTTTGCCTTGCCTAAGTTTTGTGAAGTTGGCATGTGTGCCATTATATATATATATATATATAAACATTAACTGATCATGGCATTAAAGCATGTGAGGTCGTCAAGTTGTCATTTAAATGATTTTAATAAAAAATAAATAAAAATTGCCAACTAGTAAGTCGAAATCGTGCAAAGTATTGATCCACCCATAACTATTAAAGTATTTTAAAAATATTAAAAATTAGCGGTGGTAGGAGTAATTAAAGGAGTGAGGTATCTTGTTTTGATGACAAGATTTTCTATATAAAGATAGCTTCATTGTTATGAGAAAACTCACAATCTTCAAGGAAGAAGAAGAAAAGCAAAAAAAGATGGATATGGAAACAGTAGCACCCCAAGCTCCATTGACTCGTGAAAGAAAGATTCGATCCGATCTCGAGGAAAAATTGTCCAAACCATGTAATGTTTCTTTCTTTCTTCATTCACTTTTGTTTACAATTTGATCTAATTTTAAGGCATTGTTTGTTTAACATATCTATAAACTCTGGGATCAGATTTGGGAAGGGCATCGGCAGCTGTGGACGCGGATCATCCACAAGGAACAGTAGGACGTGACAGTAAAGGAATGAGTGTTCTTCAGCAACATGCTTCCTTTTTCGACCAAAACAAAGACGGAATCGTTTATCCCTGGGAAACTTACAGAGGTTTGAGAAATCTTGGTCTGGGTCGCTTTGAAAGCCTTTTTGCTGGAATCATCATCAATATAGGGTTGAGTTATTCCACACTCGAGGTAAGTTGACTTGTATGTCCTTATGGAAAATGAATACATATACCATTTTTAAAAGGATTATATAACAATTTCACCATTTGATAGGGATGGATACCAGAACCGTTTTTTCCCATATATATCGACAGAATCCACAAATGCAAGCATGGCAGTGATTCTGCAACGTTTGACACTGAAGGAAGGTAATTATCATATACCATTTGAACCATTAAAGACATAAAGAAACACAAATATTTTGACACTAGTCATGTTGTAAATGGTATTTTTAGGTTCATGCCAGTTAACTTTGAGAACATCTTCAGCAAGTATGCTCGAACTGTGCCTGACAAGTTAACATACGATGAAGTGCACATGACCCAGTCAAATCGAAACCAATTAGACTTCCTTGGCTGGTATTTTCCAACACCCTCTTCTTTCCATTCAATAGCTTGTTCTCTGAGATTTTGCTACTGTTTGCAGGATAATCTCGAAGGGTGAATGGCTGCTTTTGTACCGAATTGCAAAGGATCCACAAGGCTATCTGTCTAAAGAAGCAATAAGGGGATGCTTTGATGGGAGTTTGTTCGATTATTACCATGATGAATAAGGCTAAGAGGAATTAAGGTCTACTGATCGAACCACTGCATGCTGCTTGTTTGAAATATGTGTTTGAAATAAACTATCCAATGTATCTGGACTAAGGTTTCATCCTTTTCTACAATAAATTCACTGCGTTATTTTTATTTTTATTCAGATTTAGCAATTTAGATCCTGATTCTGACAAAAAAAAATTGTTACGTATAAACAACTCTCATGTTTATCAAAATAACACTAATATGATGTAGGTTAAATTATTCATTAATCATCGGAGTACGAAATCGAATATATTTTAATCATCAAATTCAAACTTTCACTGTTCCACTTACTAACATTGCAAGTTGATATCAATTTAGTCATTATAAGTAAAAAAAATGAATTATAATGCGACCTCTTTATAATTGATATAATAATCTTCAATGTTTACGTATTCTATTAATTTTTTCTATTTTTAAATTTAATTTTATGCGTTTATAAAAATATATTAATTTATATCGAGTTGGTCTCAATCGTAAATAAAACCAACAAATTAACCAGACACATTTACCAACTCTATCATTTTATCATAATTTTAAAATTTAAAAAAATATAAAATTTTAAGGGTATGTTTAATTCACGGAATATAAGATTATATTTGGAAATAAGACTACTGGAATATAACATTACTCTGGGAATATTGTATTACTCTGTTTGATTTACTTAATAGGAATGTAAAGTATTTGGTTTGAGGGAATAAAAGATTACTTAGATTCATATTTTACCAATTTATCTTTATCATATATATTTTTTAACAAGTAAAATTTTAATATTAAATTATAAATATTTGAATGAAAATTTATAAAAATATTTTAATTATTACACTGTCTAAGTTTAAAGAAAAAATAAATTTAACATAGAATTAATATAATTAGTATATCAAACTTATTATTTTAAATAATTTTCATAAGTATCATATTTTTTTATATAAATATAATATATGAAAAATAATATTGTGATCTCGAGTGGATAAATATATTATTTTTAATGTATAAGATCTATTTTTAATAACTCAAAATTAAATATTATTGTAAATAATTACATTTTTACAATAGTAATATTTTCACCTCATAAAATAATAAAATAATTAATATACTAAATATTGAAAATATAAAATAATTTTAACTACAAAATTTATTAATATTTTATTAAATTAAACTCTTTGTATATTATTATTATTAAGTTTATAATTTTGAGTAAAACATGAAGAATAAGAATTGAGAAGGATTCATATGAAAATAAATCATTATTTTGGAGGTATTTATGTCCTAAGTGGTGGAAATTATTCATTATCTAAGAATTTGGAGTTAATGACATTCCCACCATTTTTACCCAAAAATGCTACTATTGGTAATCAGTGGCGGATCCAGAAATTTATAAATGATGGTCTAAAATTTTAATTTTCTTAAAAATAATGGGGTGCAAAATTTTTTATTTTTTTCATTTTTCTTTAACATATTATACTAAATTTCACTTTTTTACCCAAAAGTGCATCCGCCCCTGTTGGTAATAAGCTATTATTTGATAATAATTTTTTCCATGAACCAAATATAAAAAATACAATTTCGGAAAAAAATTATTCCTTTAATAATGATCTTCTCCGCGAACCGAACGCCCTAAAGAAAAATATATCAGCTATTTTCGATTTTCCTCAAGGCCGAATGATTATGTCCACTAGTTATTAAGAGCATGCAATAGAATCATTACTTAGAAAAATACGTACATTAAAATAAGGTGCATTATGAGTGTTTGGGTACTTGGCCTATAAAGATTAGCAGATAGATGAGTGGTTAGGAATTTATTAATCTATGCCTCCATTTTGATATGTCATATTAAAACATCTTCGTATGTAATAATATTAGTCTAAATATTTAAGAAACAATTCTTACATAATAAAATATTAATTTAATATATTAAGAAAAGATTCGTAAGTAATATTATGAATTTAATATTTAAAAAATTCCTTCTTAATATATATATATTAAAAATAATACGTATAATATTAATGTAATATATTACTCTTTCTATCCTACTAAATGTATTTATTATTGACTTTTAAAAAGTAAAAATTTGATTACGATTATTTTAAATATTTTAAATAATTAAATTTTATAAATATATATTTGAAAACTATTTGATTTAAAATTTTTAAAATATATTTTTATATTTTTATCAATAATAAATTTCAAATAATAATAAGTCAAAATTAAAATTTAATTAAAAAATCCAATAATAGACCAATTTAATTACAGAGGAAATGTATGAAAAATATTCCTACATGGCTACATTGGACATTGTATCTAGCACGTGATTACTGTTTGGTGATATTTTCGATGTCTTCTATTATATATTTTGGCAGATTCATTTGCTTTCGATATGTTTATATGGAAATTTCATTTTAGGTTGTGTTTATATATATATGATTTTGAAAAATATTATTCTGTAATTAAAATAAAATTACAAGAGTAAATGTGTGGTCAAATAGGTTGTTTAACCTTATTTTTAAATCTCAATTATACCCATGCCCTCTAAATAATAACTATATAACATTGAAATTAGCATCTACAAACATGGATTAATATTTTATTTTATTTTTTAAATTTGTTCTAGAACCCCAACCAACTCTTTTATTTTACAATTTTTAAAATGTTATTAAAATTGTTAATAGCAATTGTCGTTTTGTTCACACAACTTTGGTCATTCAGCACTAATCTCCTCAAATATTGGTATCCAATGGTCAAAAGTTTTGGCCTTCCCTTAGTTTTGTGAAGTTGAAATTTGTGCAACTTATTATAAAATTAATGATCAATGTATACTTTTATAATAGATAATAAATTTATATAATTTTAAAGTGATACAGATTTATAAAATTTTATGATGTAAAAATAAATATTTTTAAAATATATAGAACTTTAAAATATTTTTTAGAGGTGCCCTCCTTAATTCATTCATAATAACAACCATTAACTTTGATAAATTCTCAATATTTTGGATTTAAAGAAAAGCTATCATCGATTACGGCGTGAAATCTAGAATTTGTTTACTTATTTGAGATGATTCGTAACTCTTTCTTCTACTTTTTCTTTAATCCGATACAATTCGGATATCATGATAAAAATAATTTAGAGAATAAATTTGTTTTGAGATTTATTCTACTTTTTTAACGTGTTTGCTTAAATCTCAAAATTGATAAATCCGTTTAATAGAAATTGTCGTTGAAGTAACATTGGTTACTCATTTTGTTTCAGAATTTTGATTATATCTGGTAACAAAATCAAAAATAAAAGAGAATTAATTTTTTGTTATTGGATTTTTTGGTTCCGTGTTAAAAAATAATTTGGATTTTAACAGAATTTATTATATTATTATTTATAATAGAAATTGACTGAAAGTAACAACGTTGTTACTGATTTGTTTCAAAATTTTAGTTTCTAACTAAATTTTGTTGGTATAATAAATCATAATTTATTGTTGGAATTATTATTAAGGGTAATCTATGTCAAATACCACTCATCTTTAAGCCTGGGCTCAAAAATGCCATCGACGTTTCAATTTTGCCAATTTTAGCACGGACGTTTATGTTTCACTGCAATTTTGCCACTCCGCCGTTAATCCGTTAACGGGACGATGACATTGCATCTTTTTCCGTGACAGCGATGACATGTCACTCTCATCAAAACGATGTCGTTTTGACACGACCGTTTTGATACTTAAAAAGCTCAAAACGACGTCGTTTTGTTGATGAAAAATATGTTTTTCATGAGATTCAAATCGTAGACCTTTAGAATCCAAATCTAAATACCCAACCACCAAGCTAACTTAAGAACTTGGTATAACCTTAACAAAACTATTATAAATGGCATCGCTACCACCGTCACCCTCATTATCTTCCTTATTATCTTCCTTATTATCTTCTCTTAAGAACTTCACTTTGGTTACAATGATATCACCACCGACTACAAAGAAACCAATAGAGGCCTCATGCGCCGATATCAAATTCTCCAACGAATTCACCGGTCACTAAAAAGGTCGAAGGTGTACAGAGTGTTAGTGATATACAAGAGAGGTCGAGTCCCATATCTGTTTTTGAGCCGATATTCGCAGATGATGTTATCAACCCCGCTAGCTTCAGATTTATTTCTGGTAGACATGAGAAATCCTTTTGTTTTTCCTTTTTCATGTTCTACATTTGTATTTAACTTTGTTGTGCTACATTTCGGATAATGCCGATTTTTGCACTGATCTTCAGGTGAAACATCCATACAACCGTTAAGAATTCGATTCGAAGAACATGGTTCATCAGCAAATCATAATGGTAGTTTTAAAACTTGCATGGATGATAAGGAATCAATATTTGAGCACATAAAGGTTGTGCTACAAGCCTCGAATTTTGATTGGGATGAACTCTACTTTAGGTCACTTTCTTCGGACCAGCTTCTCGACCCTCTATTGCTTGATGAGGTAGAATATTTACCCAACCAACTTTGTCATGACAAGAAACTGTTATTCGACTGCATTAACGAAGTTCTCATCGTCGTTTGTTCGTACTATTTTGGTTCCCCCGGCATGTCATTCATTAAAACGAATATCCGTCCTCTTTCGAACTTGAAAAATACCATTGAAGGGATTCAGCAAAGAGTTTATTGGCATGTGCTCCCATTGCCGTTACCTCATACTTTAGACCATTGTAGTCAGAAAAGACTTGGCCAAAACAGGAACATGGATGGATCTTTGTAGTCGGTGGTGATATCAGTGTAACCAAAGTGAAGTACTTAAGAGAAGATAATGAGGAAGATAATGAGGGTGACGGTGGTAGCGATGCCATTTATAATAGTTTTGTTAAGGTTATACCAAGTTCTTAAGTTAGCTTGGTGGTTGGGTATTTAGATTTGGATTCTAAAGGTCTACGGTTCGAATCTCATGAAAAATATATTTTTCATCAACAAAACGATGTCGTTTTGAGCTTTTTGAGCATCAAAACGGTCGTGCCAAAACGATGTCGTTTTGATGAGAGTGTCATGTCATTGTCGTCGCATAAAAAATGCCATGTCTTTGCCTCGTTAACGGATTAACGACGGAGTGGCAAAATTGCAGTGAAACATAAACGTCCATGCTA